TATGTTGCTCCATAATCTAGTATTTTTTCGATTGGCTGTTTTTTCTTATCCAGTGTTTTCTCCTTTTATCGTATCAGGAAGACTTTGTGAATGCTATAATCTCTTGAGAATTTTCTTCGGTTTCTTGGATTATGTCCCTTCCAGAATGAGTTCTTTGCCACTTGTTTGCCCTATTCATTTCTTCACTTTTTTTTCTTCCTGCCTTTTATCTTCTTTTTTGTTTTTCTCTGCTGTTGTACATGTACACATATGTTGTTCTTGATCTGGCGGGCACAGAGAACTTCTATTTACATAGAATGGGAAGATGTGATGTTGATGAATTCTTTTTAATACCCTACTTATCTTACCCAAACTTGTTTTTCTCCTGAGCCCCAGTTTGAAAGCTGGGTATTGCTGTTGGCTGGGAAGGAGAAGCTATGGGAAAAGGGGTGAGAGAGCCACATGGGGCAATGTGGCTTTTAGGCTCTGCTCTCTTGAAACACCAAGTATTCTCTTGAGTTTGCTCCAGCTGCTTAGGAGTATACATCCTATACCTCATGTGGGGTTATTACTGCACTTTATACTTTTTGCTTCACTTTGGTCTGAAGTCTAGAAAGTGATCCTGTCCCCCCAAATGTGGAAATAGTTAGATACTTTCAGTCTTGACTTTTTTGTTGTCTTTTCTCTGCATTGTTTATTCTTCCCTCAGCTCTACTTCTTGATATCTGTCGAGGTGTTTCTGATAAGTATCAGGATTTTGTAAACTATTTCCCTACAAACCCATATTTCCTAACTCTACCCGTAGGAAAGACCATAGTCATATAGAACTTTGTTTCTTATTTTTATTATCACTCTTCAAAATTTATGGCAGTGGTTATATGGTTGCTGCTGATAAAATTTTGGCTTTTTTTTTTAATTTTTTATTTTTCCATTTTTTTCCTATTTTTTGTTTTATTAGGTTTTAAAGAAAGGAGAGTCTATAATCTAGCTCAGGATTTGTCAACTTTGGCATAAATGACATTTTGGGTTGAGTAAGTATTTGTTGTCAGAGGGTTCTCCTGTGCACTGTAGGATGTTTAACAGCATCCCTGGCTTCTATCCACTGGATGCTAATAACATTCTAGTTGAGACAATGAAAAATATCTTCAGACATTGCCAAGTGTTCCCTGGGGAGAAAAAGCACACTGCTTTGAGAGCCACTGATTAACTTCATTCACTATCTGCACTCCACTTGCTAAGCACCTATATCCAAATTTGAAATGGTTCTTTCTTGTGTAGTCTGGCAATTATTACATCAAAGGTAAACTTCAGATTTAGAGTAAAAGCTTTAATACACTCTTATAGTTCAACTTAATCGGTAATTGTTAATGGTAGGACCAACAAGCTATTTATCTGAATAGAAATCAATGAATTTTTTAAAATTATAAAATGATTTATGTGTGATGTTAGGTATTTTACTGAGTGAATAAATTAATAGTTTTTTAATGACTTATTGTTTGGAGTAATGATACGGTACATTTACTTCCCTCCCCCTCATTAATTAAAATCATGTTTTTAGCCAAGAAAGTGAACAAAATTCTTATCGGCAATTCAGTTGTTTCCCGTTTAGGAGACTGACACTCTCCAGTTCTAAGCTAAATAATTGTCATGGTAAAGTAATTTCCTTGAAAAGGATGGACATTGATTCAGGTCCGGTTACTCACAAATCCTATTTCAGTCAAATTGGAAAACTATTAAGTTTTTGGGAAAAAAATCAATAGGTATCAGGAAACCATTAGATCTTGTGGCCCTTGCTATATCTTGCATGAGTAATCACTGTAAACAGCTGACAGGTATTTCATTGTTGACACAGAATGATGCTTGGGGGACCACATCTTGTCAGGGTGGGTGGACAGCTTTCGACATTGGAGTGAGTTCAGTTATCCTTGTTTTTCCCCCATGCTCATTCTTTTAGACAGCCCTGTCACTAACTGGGCCTGTGATGCTTTGAAAAATCGAATACTTGCCTTGCTGTCAGTTTTCTTTTTCTTGTGTTGTAGCATACTAATCAGGGTATGTGGTTAGGTACTAAACCAGTTTCTGTCAAAAACAAGTTTTAATTTCTTATTTAGAAATAATTTTTCCTCAGACTCAAATTTTACACTAGTACTAAATAGTGTGAAGATTAATTAGTAATGCCATAGAGTGTATAATTTTACTACTTTTTGTTCTACAAAAGTTACAACTAAATTTTTTGTTTTTTTGGACAAGTGATTTTGGAATTATCTACGTTTTGCTTTTCCTCTAAAGGGAGAATTCATCATTTGTGACCTGAATGATTATTATGTTTAGGAGATGAGAAAATGAAAATAAGTTTGTGCATACAGTCACACTCTCCAAATCGTTTGATAATATCTGTTGGTAAATTATCATGGCATTGGTAGAAACATGATGTTTTGTTCATACGTGGTAGGAGTTGGTCTTTTTTTTGAGGAAGTAGAGAGAGGGGTAGAGATGGGTATAAACAGTAAATGGTTCTATCACTGTAATTTCCATAAGAAGATTGGAAACCCAAATTTAATTTGTATATGTGCTTACCTGTTAATTTCATTGGGACAAATTAAACCGTGGATAGAATCATGTTTCTCAGTTTGAAGAAATAATTTTATATGATGACTATTATATATTTTCAGGTGCTGTGGCTGCTATCTTTTGGGTTGATGCTGAATTAGGGAGTGATATTTATCTTGATGGTAAGTTAAACAATTTTGTTTTTAAGTAAATTTTTATTTTTACTTCATTTCTTCTATATTTTAATTCTTTGCATTGTTGTTGTTTTCAAACTTGTTTAGTTTGGTGATGAAGTAAGTCTTTGTTCATATAGATTCAAAAGCCCCAGACAGTGATAGAACTGGTTGTCAGGTCTTAATCTCAACTCCCAATTTAGTGCTTCCACTGAAGTTTTCCTTTGAAAGTGCTATGTAGATTTCCTATATCCTCTGTTGTTTGATTTACACGCTGAGAATAATGTTAGCCAGGCAATGTGAGGTTCATATTTCTGCTTTCATTTTCCCTTGAAGATAAGAATTAAGCACATCCTCCCTTTATTTACCCTAACACTTTTGGGCAATCTTATTTATAAACTTAAAAACTATACGTCTTCATTTAAGACATATTAATACTGGAAACTTTCTTAGTTGAGCAATGATGTTTCCTCTCTCTTTTCCTCCCTCGTCCCTCTTTCCCCTTTTTTAAAACCAGTCTTTCATAGACTAAGGGGTGAAAGAATCACTGAAGCTGGGCCCCCTCATTGGGCTCTAATATATTGGCATGTAGCTGGTTGAATTGCTTAGGCAATTCTGCTGTCATCCTTTGAAAAATTATTTAGCATATATTCAGAGTTTGCTAAACTGATGAGAAGCTTAGGTATATATTATGTAAAGCATTTTTGTGAGTCAGGTTTGGTGAGAGACATTAGAAGATATCCTAAGATATCTCATTCGTTAAGCAATAATTTAGATGTTAAGTCTTGATTTTGATTATGTGAAAATGAACTAGAAATAACCTGTCTTGTGTAATTTATCACATTTGACTTTATATTATGAAATTTGTCTTATATTTTGGTTGTAAGCTTTTTAAATGCCAGGGAAATCTCATTTTCTTATTTAGTTTTTAAAATTTAATTTTTTATCTTTAGTATCTTAAACAGTACTAGTTACTAAGCACATATTTGAAATGCATTGACTTATTACTAGAGTTGAATTTAATTGCAGCATTGGTAAGAGAAAAAAACAATACTTTGTATTGAGTAGTCTTTGTGAACTGAAATAGTAGATTAATTTTAATTTTTATTCTCAAATATGGTTGAACAATATTAATAAACACCCTTTTTAAAAAAGGTGATTAAAGTGTTTATTCCTTTGTAGGTATCATAACTGTTGTAGATTCAAAATATGGACTAAAAGTAAGTTAAAAAATTGCTATGAGTTGCTGATTGTTTGTTAAAAGCTGGGAATATGGGGGTTCATTGTATTATATTTTCTGTATTTGAATGTGTTTGACATTTTCCTTAACAAAAGCCTTTTTCATTTATTATCCTGAACAATAGATGAAATTTGTGTGTTTTAATTATTATTTTGTGTTTTTAAATTAAATATTTCTTTCATAAATTACTCAGGTTTAATGTAGTGATAAAATTTGGAATTATATTTTGTAATAAGGATATAGGGTCACGATAAAGTTTGGGTATGTGTAACTCCTCACTAGGCTTCAGCCCCAATATTGGTAAGTTTTTCTGTTTGATAGAGGAAATTGAGCTTAATAAAGCATATGAGATCTTATTTTCTTGTTAACTATATATTAAACACATGCTGCAAATAGGTTTTTAATAAATCCCACTTTATTTTGAAGAAATCGGGATTTGTACATAGGATTAGTGAGGAGAAACCCTCCATTAAAAGGCATCCTGCTGTGAATGTTTTTGTTAACTTCTAAGGTACTCAAATGCATTTAAATGGGGTTCAATTTATAAAATACATTTAGTAAGATCTTTAAAAACATGCTGTTGCATAAAGTAAAACAACTGCTTCTCAACTTCCCAAGTAAAGTATCACTAAAGGCAACAGAGAATGAAATTATCCTCTGCCTCAGCTTCCACCCCATCCCAATCTGGGGATATGGATAGGGCCCAAAGTAATAATTTCTTAGAAGTTTAAATTCAGTGTTTAAAAATTTGTGTCAGTTTTGTATTCTACCCCATAACATATCTAAACTTGTTAATTTTTAAAAGTTTTTCTTCCAAATCCTCGATGAAATTATGCACTTGGGAGATATGTCAGGCTTGTCAAATGGCTACCAGTACCCTTTTACTGGCCCTTCAGTTCCCTCAGGGATCGAGTACCCTATTGAAAAGTTTGGAAAATAATTCCTTTTTTAAGGTTTAAAATCTAAATGTATGAATAGTATTAACAATCAAAGAAAGATTTCACATACAGTAGTAAAGTTATACTCAGAAAAATTCAGATTGTTCCGAAATATTTCTAGAAAAATGTTTATGGAGGTAGCACAAAAAACCTCAAATTATTCATTTTGAGTGTTTATTATAGGTATGTTTGAATCTATCTCTATAAATTTATTACCAAATTTGATATACCTATAGGATAGATAGCTGCTAAGAAATTTTATTTGTTTTTTTTTGATAGACTTAGAATGCCATGCCAAAAGTCAAACTCTTTATGTATTTTATGATTACAGGAATAATTGTATATATATAGTTGGGTATGGAGAGGAGTTAAATAGGATCTATTATCAGCATCATAGGGGCCAAAAAAACAAAGCAACATTCTGAATAATGCAAACGCAGTAAACGTTTAACCTCCTGCCACCTTGATAAAACCTCTTAAATTATTAAATCAATATACCTACACAAAACTGACATACTGTCAGGATAATGGAAACTTTAGATTTTCTAAGTCGGATGCCAGATAAATAACTTTGCCTTTATATAAAGAATTTGCCAACTTGTCCAATTCCTCTGGTTGCAAAGCTTGACCTCAGTAGCTGCTTGTGATTCAGAGAATTCTGAGGCAGTACAAGTAATGACACTTGGATAATGGGCAGCAATTTAAGGGTGTCATGCTTCACAGAGCCAGCCCATCACAAGTAAAGCTGAGAAATGGTACCCTGTGGCCAGCCAGCCAAATTGAAACTGAAGTGGTAATTGATATCATGGGCTATCACTCTAATGGGATTGTCACCCATTGATCTGAAATATTCATTTTTTAATCATGGGCAAAGAATTGGACAACTTAAAATGACAGCTCTCTATTCTCAGGACTTGACACCTAGGCAACTGACATTGTTCTTTTCAGTTCTACAAATGTGACAGCATTTAATGCAATAGAATCAATGAATGAAGTTACCCAGAAAAGGTCAAGTGAGAGGTTGCTTTTTGGTTCTTCTGTTATATTGCACAGGCTGTTGAAACAATTCAGCCAGAAAACAGTTTGGCTTGGAAACGGCCAGAAAAATAAATAGACTGACATTATGCAATAATTGTTTTAAAACTAAAATAGTGTTAAGACCATACCAAACCATTTAAAAGAAATAGCTGCTGGTTGCTGCTGCTGCTGCTGCTGCTGCTGCTTTTTTTAAATGACAACTGACATCTCTGACCCTAGATTTATTTCCACTTTGGTCAACAACAGTGTTCTTTTTTAGACAGTTTT